TAATACCTACAGGATTTCGTCCCATTTAAAGGTTGTTAAGAATTAAATCCTCTACAACATATCAAAAAATGGGCAAAATCCATAGAGTCCAAAAATCCCATGTTAGGTGTGCGTTATCCTTTCATTCAGTTTTTAATAATTGATAATGTGAATCGACCTTAAATTTATTGTTTTGACACTTTGACAGCTTCACTTGTTGCATTTTTGTTTGGTAAAAATAGTGCATTATTAGTATATTTCCATCCCTTTCTATCGGCATGTAAACGAACAAGATAGAAATACTGGTTTTTGTCTGTTTGTATCAAGATTCGTACCAATCGAATTCGGCTTAACTCGGCATCAATTAGGCATGGGCGGTTATTGGAAAATAACCGGTTATCGGTTAACCGGTTTATTTTTTTAAGAAAAATAACCTTATACGATTAAATTTTAGTAAATAACCGGTTATCACAATAACCGGATAAAATTTTCTCTCTCTCTACTACTACTACTATCTCTTTCTATTTTACACAATTAAACAAAGAAAAACAGCATGTTATTTCTCGCCTTGACGTATGCGAGTTATGACGTCGGAAATGGTGACACACCAATATGGCGACGATTACCAAAAACGAGGGCGATAAGCAGTCCTGTAGGTGTGTATCATCCTTGCATCGAGAAGGGCACTTTTTATTTCTTTTCTCTTTATATTTTGCAAAAATAACCATGGAAAATCAAGTTTCCACTTCGTTGGATTTTGTTTTTTTTGTCGCGTGGTCGCGCCATCTCTTATCATAAATATGAAGGTTGGGTAAAAAATGCATTCCATTGGGAATTTTTTAGGAGTTCTTGCATTTGAATTGTTTGAAATCATGCTATAGCCTAGTACTCATAACTGCGAATTTCGCATTTTTTTGACATTGCTTCGACAATTTGACGTTTGATTCACGCATAAAACGTCAACTTATCGAAGCAATGTCAAAAAAGTGCGAATTTCGCAGTTATGAGTACTAGGCTTATAAGTAAGGACAGATAAATCGATAGTTTAAAAAAAGAAAATATCAACCGAATAACCGAATGTCGGTTATTGGTAAGTCAATCCGGTTATTAGGTTGAACCTGATGAAAATAATAACCGAAAATAACCGTTTTTTAAACGTTAGGTTAACCGGTTATTGGAATAACCGGTTAAGGACCCCGCAATATTTAAATGGAAATTGGTTACCCGTGATATTTCGATGAAATTTAAATATGTTATTGGGGATGCCGTAAGCAACATTTTTTACCATGGGCACAACCCTGTATATATGACAGGTGAGGCGTGGTTAGCTGTCAAATATTGGAATCTTATATCCAAAAGAAGAGTGACTATGGCAGATTTTGATGAACGAAGTATCGATGTGTACTAAGTCGACCAAGTTAAGTCGAAAAATGTCAACCATTTTGACACCTGTCAGAACCCTGCCAAACGGCAGCACTCATCTTTTCCCGTTTTCAATATTTTATGATGTCATTTGACATTTTTAACTTGTATGTAAATCCTGAATTCAAAAATTGAAAAAAAAAATGACAGAACTGTCAAAACCTGTCATTTGTTTTAGTAGAAAAAAATACTCTAATCTGGTTCTTTTTTGTTTCAAGGTAGTTTAGCGGTGATAAAACATTAAACAAAGTTCATGCATGTCACATTTTGACAACTGTCAGAATCTGTTAATAGATTTTTGGTTCATATTGAGTTTGTTTGCTTAGTGAAGGTTTAGTTTTATTGTATTATTGTGTTATTCTATCATTGTAATTGTAGAACTTAACTCAATATGAACCAAAAAGCAAAAACAGATTCTGACAGTTGTCAAAATGTGACATGCATGAACTTTGTTTAATGTTTTATCACCAATAAACTACCTTGAAACAAAAAAGAATCAGATTGGAGTATTTTTTTCTACTAAAACAAATGACAGTTCTGTCATTTTTTTTTCAATTTTTGAATTCAGAATTTACATTCAAGTTAAAAGTGTCAAATGACATCATGAAATATTGAAAACTGGAAAAGATGAGTGCCGCCGTTTGACAGGGTTTTGGCAGGTGTCAAAATGGTTGACATTTTTCGACTTAACTTGGTCGACTTGGTAGAAATAGATTTTTTGTTCATCAAAATCTGCCATAGTTACTCTGCTTTTGGATATAGGATTCCAATATTTGACAGCTAACCACGCCTCACCTGTCATATATACAGGGTTGTGCCCATGGTAAAAAATGTTGCTTACGGCATCCCCAATAACATATTTAAATTTCATCCAAATATCACGGGTAACCAATTTCCATTTAAATATTGCGGGGTCCTTTATCCCATGCCTAGCATCAATGAATGATGGACGTAAACAAAGAACAATGGGATCAAAATTACATATGCATTTTGCATCTTTGGAATTAAATCAGTGTTGTCGAACGTCAAAATACTAAATCGGGAGAAAAATCTATGGGAGAAACTAACGTTGAAAATCGGTAGATTACAACGCAAAATCGGTAGGAATAACACAAGTATAATACACACTACTAAGGATTACTTACCTGCCTCGATTTCGGTAATCGCGGCCATATTCTTGTATCACCATTGCGAACGTCATTAACTAAATCGTCAGCTGTTTGCGCCAGCGGTCCTAGTTTAGAATTTAAATTTATGATGAAAAATATTATTTAATTTTGATTAACATAATAGGCAAAGAGCACGATGCAAACGAAATCTGAAAAGGAGTTCTTGTTAATTAATAATGTAGTAAGACCAAATATGCATAAGGCAAAAGACCGCGGAAACATAGCCTGTGATGCAAAGAGTGCCCACATTAAGACGAGAAACGATGTGCTGCCTACGTCACAACTGGTGATTTGGCGTAGTGGGGGGCTTTAGATTTATTCTACACAGGTCTCATGAGGATATGCTATCCTGTAGTTGTAGTATGTATTATAACATAAAAACTAAAATCCAACCGTGTTTTCCTTTAAGCTTTCTATTTCGTTAAGTATGTAAAAGCCCAGTGATTATTTCCGTGGAAAGTCTATCTCTTTGTACTGTTTTCATTTGATTTATTGCTGAGACTGTGCGCTCAATATTGGCGGAAAAATGGCGCAATGACAAGATAATAAAAACAAATTCGGATATCACAGGACCCACAGGTATTCCCCGATAGAAAAATCGGCGAAAACAAAACCGATAAAATTGATTTTTTGGCGAAAAACGGTAGAAAAATCGATAAAATCGTAATTATTGTCGAAAATCGGTAGAAATTGATCAGTATTCGGTATTTCGGTAGGTCCGACAACACTGTTAAATTCAACCACTTGGGCATAGAGGACCCGCTTTGGTCCCTATTTCTAAAAAAACCAATCGAAGATTGCTTTGATCACGAAAACGTACGTCGCATTACTGTTTCTTTATTGGTCAGGATTTTTGACATGATATTTTGACATTAAGTTCATTGACAAAATCAAAGAGAAATTTTGCTAAGACATACGTTTAAAAAACCATAGCAATCTTTGATTGGTTTTTTTTTTGAAGACCCGATAGGTATCTTGTTTATTTTTTGCCAGGTTGTAATTGAAATTTACTAATTTGTTGTTGTAGTCCTTTTCCTTTGGTTTTCTGTGATTTTTCTATCATATATCAGAAAAAATAAAAACAAACGTCACAACTTCGCCACAATCGCCATGATTACGCCGAAAAATTCAACAAAACCCAACTTTTTGCCGAAGCGGCAGCACCGTAATGCGAAAAATTCAAGATGGCGGCACTGCCGCCAATGAAATCACACAAATTAAATCACGTGATTTGTTACGCCAATTACGCCCAATGATTACGCCTGTAAGGACGGTAAGGACTCGCCCTCTTCAAAAATATGGCGTTTCCGGTTAGAAGCACTGAGTGTATTTCCATCTCTTTCTCTCCTCCTGTTAAAGAAACAGATAGAAATAAATTTTTTTGCACCATTTCTCTAAACCGAAAACGCCATCGCCATTATTGAAAATTTGACAATGAAGACAGTTGACACTGTTCACAGTTTGGTTTGATTATTTTGAGGGGTTAGTCAAGTCTGACAAAAAAACTCTAGCTGTTTGTCCCAGTACGCCCAGTCAGTCCGAGACCGAGACTTTGTCTAAGAACTTAATTATTGAAGACTATTTTTTCAAAAATGCCGAAAAATATTGATGAATTGTACAAGAGGGAAATTGTGAGACAAGATAGTAAGTTTACACAGTTAGTTTCTGTTTCTCAATAGCGAGTCACCTCCGGGTTGGTTTCCACCCCAGGGTAAACGTGTCCAGTTGCAATGTTTACCCTGCCCCCAGGGTGACTCGATAATGAGAAACCGGCCCTTAGTAGTTTGTGCTTTGCTCCTGGTACAGTATATTATAGCTTTTGTGTTCTTCAAATATATCTATATAGCTTTTGTTTTCTTCAAATATATCTATGTATCTTGCACACAGTATCGTAAAATATCAATTTTTGTGAACAATAAATGAATATGGATTTGTATTTGTACACCTTAGGGCCGGTTTCTCAATGGCTAATCACGTCTGGGTTGGTTTTAACTCCAGGGTAAACGTGTCCAGTTGCAATGTTTACCCTGGAGTTATGCTCAACCCCAGGGTGACCCGCTATTGAGAAACCGGCTCTTAGTGGTTTGTGGTTTGCTCCTTGTACAGTATATTATAGCTTTTGTTTTCTTCAAATATAGTATGTATCTTGCACACAGTATTATAAAATATCAATTTTTGTGAACAATAAATAAATATATATCTGTCTGTACAACTTAGGGCCGGTTTCTCAATAGTGAGTCACCTCTGGGTTGGTTTTTAACTCCAGGGTAAACGTGTCCAGTTACAATGTTTACCCTAGAGTTATGCCTAACCCGGGGGTGACTCGCTATTGAGAAACCGGCCCTTACATAGACTGACAAAATTCGAGTCCAAAAAAGCAAAAAACTAACAGTTTCAATTTTTATATGATAATAATATTTTTCATTTCAGATAGCGGAAAGAAAGACAAAAAGAAGAAGGAAAAGAAAAAGAAGAGTGCCAAAACCATATCCGAGAAACCCCGCAAACGTAAGGAGAAAAAAGAGAGGGACGACAACAAACCTAAACGTGCGTCAACTGCGTTCATGTTATGGCTGAATGCTACCAGAGAGCAAATTAAAAAAGATAATCCTGGAATCAAGGTTACTGAGATCGCCAAAAAAGGGGGAGAAATGTGGAAGGAAATGAAAGATAAGAGCGAATGGGAAGGAAAAGCTGCCAAGGAAAAAGAAATATATACCAAGGCTATGGCTGAATATAAGGCTTCTGGTGGTAAGTGAAAAAAATAGTTCAAAACCATTTCTTAAATAATATTATTTACAGGTGGCGCCACTAGCAATCCTAGTACAAAATCCAAAAAAGCATCAGCCCCGTCTAAAAAACCATCGTCATCTAAAAAAGCCGTTGATTCTTCCCCCGTCAAATCTGGTTCATTCAAGAGTAAAGAATTCATCGAAGAAAGCGACAGTAGTTCGGATGAGGATAAAAAGAAACCCAAGAGCAAGAATGAAGCTGCCAAGAGAAAGAAGGGCAGCGACGACGAAAAGGAATCCAAAAAGCCTAAGAAGAAATCCGAGAGCAGCGGAGATGAAAAAGCCAAATCCAAATCCAAGCCCAAGAAGAAAGATAGCGATGAGGAAGTGGAAGATGAAGAAGAGATACTTAGTTCTCCCACTGCTAGTGAATCTGAGGGAAGTGATGATGGTAGCGATTAATTTTAAGTTGTTCGTTAAGTATGTTACCTCCATTCCTCGGTACATATATCTTTTCATATTATTATTTTAGCCTAGATGTCTAGTATTGGTAGTTTTCATTTAAGTTTAGCCAACATTAGTTTTCACAATAATTTGTATTTGTTATTAATAAAAAATTGAAATTATTAATTGTGTTTATTTTGAACAGTGAACATATCCCATACTGAAAGCCATATTAAAGTCTTGAATATTGCCAATGTTTCCCCTAAACCTGGCTTCATTAGATCTCTTTCTACCCTGTTAAGTCAAAAATGGGTTTTTGAGATAGCAGCCAGAATAGAGAAATTGTGAAGGACCCTTTTCGAGTAGGTACTGTTTGTTTCACAAGGGTTTACATTCGTCGGTCTTTGAACCAGCTTTTCAATTTATATGAATCAATCTACGACAAACCTTTTTTCCCAAGTTCTGACATTATCAATGTCATAAGTAAAGTCTGGTTTTTTTTTTAAAGAAAAAAGTCAAAATGACATTATGTTGGCAATGTAATGTAAAATTGTCAATGATTTCAAATTTTTTATTTAGAAAAAGCTTGTATTGCCAACATATAGTTACTAAATTTTTGACTTGGGGAATTAGCTTAAAAAAAAACAGACTTTAGAAACCTTCGGTAAATGAACCTTACTTGTTTATGTTCCAACTTTACCGACGAACGAACATACATTAGTCTTTTAGAGTAAGGGCGGGTATTATAAAACTGCTTTGACAGTTAACTTGAAGTTAACTTTTTGAATTACATGTAATTCAAGAAGTTAACTTTAAGTTAACTCTCAAAGTAGTTTTATAATACCCGCCCTAAGCCAAAACAACTAGCTTGAAAGCTCTAGCCTTTAACATTAGGCACCAACTTCGTTGAAAGTGTGGCATCAATACCAGCGAAAATATATATAGGCTATTCATTTGTACCTGCTCAGGAAGATCTGCTAGGAGCTGCTATTTTTGAGCTTATATACAGGGTGAGTTACTTAGCGCGTGGTGGTCCATATCTCCTGTACTAACGTAAATCGAAGAATAAACTAAATACAAAACTTGTAGATTAACATGAGTACTACATTTCTAAATTATTTTTCAGTATTCAGAGTGGCCCAATAAGTAGTGGTGATTTATTTATTTATTTATTTATTTATTTATACTCCTACATACACCTTTAACAGGTACTTACAATACAAGAGTGCTTACTGATACCCTAACATCCACTATGGCTAAATTACAAAGAAACACAAAAAGTTAGACTTATACTAAGTTACACATCGAATATAAAAGATAAAAAATATAAAATAACAATCACAGAGATTTATAAAAAAAAAACTAGTAAAACTTTGGTATTAAAAAAAAAATCTTATGGCAAAGGTATTTGTATTAAATAAATCAATATCACATTCCCTCACCAATCTGTTACATTCGCGAAGCATATTGTTTAGAGGCGAACAGCTCAATACATTATCCTGAAATATCTTTTGTTCAATATTTTTAAGCGCAATTTTAGGAACATGGAATGCAATTCTATTAATTAAATAACTGTGCCTGTACTTGACGCTATTTAAAATATGACATACAAAGATAACACACTGCATACTTCTCCTGGTACCCAATTTTTTAATACTAAATTCACTTAGCATTGAACTATAAGAGATCATATAAGGATATACACTATGTGTCCTAATAAATAAATATCTTAAAAATCTTTTCTGGACTTTTTCAATCATATCACAGTTAACTTCTGCCTGCGGTGCCCATATTACACAAGCATACTCTAAGTGCGGTCTGACCAGCGCATTGTATAGTCTAATGACAGTTGTTAATTACCAGTAAGCAAAAGAACTCTTTTTAAAAAAGTCAGAGATGCAAGGAAGAGCAAGGGGTATAAAGCAGCATTTTGTGTGAATGGAGTTATTTACCTTAAAAAAAATGATCATGACCCTGCCATAAAAATTAGACACGAAAGTGATATTGAGTCCATATAACTTCTAAGTTATGACTCCTATAATATAATTTAAAAAAAGTCAGTATTTAAATTCAATGAGTTATTAGATATTATTGAGAATTATAAGTCCTGTGAAACAATTGTCTGTGATAATCTATCAAAAGTACAAATTTTTGAGAATAACAACATAAACTTCAGCATAATACATATAAACATAAGAAGTATATATAAAAACTTTGATGACTTTCTGGTTTTTGTCGAGTCAACTAAAAATAAATTTGATATTATCGTGATGATGAGAAACGCATTACATTTATAACTTGAATGACTTTAGTATACCTGGGTACAATATTTATTTTAATAATAGCTCACTAAATAAATGTGACGGTTGCGTTATTTATGCTAAACAAAAACATATTATGGAAAATCAAGTGATTGTAGAAAATACTTTAAAAATTGTGGAAGTCTCTATAAAAAAACAACATCAAACTATAGTCATTCTTGCTACTTACAGATGTTTTTTCACCAGTAAGGAGGAGTTCCTGGAAAATTTGGAAGCAGTTTTGGAAAGAATAGTGTTTGATCGAAATAAAGTGTACATCTTTGCTGGGGACATAAACATTGACCTGCTAACAACTGAAGTGACCTCATCAAGTGTCTATTTATCATTGATGCAAAGTTATGGTTTCGTGAGTGTCATAAATAAAGCTACGAGTAGGTTTGGCAATTCTGAATCATGTTTAGATCATTTTTTTGTTCGCTGTAAGGTTGACCTGTTTGAAAAAATTAAAGCAACATAGCTTGACGGATCATGATCCTATCCTTCTCAATTTACCAATAATGGTTACAACAATCCCTGCAAGAAACGAAAAAATATATCAAATAGTTCATCAAATAGCTATGATAAACTTACCAAGTTGATGGAGAGAGAGGGATGGGATGGTGTATTTCAGAACTGGGATAGCGATTCTTGTACACATAATTTTGTCAGTAAATTAAATTCATTAATTTCGATAGCCACTAGAAATAAGGCAATTTCTAGCAAAAAAATAAGAATTAAGCCTTGGATCACTTGTGGCCTTCTAGTGTCTATCAGAACCAGAGACAAATTAAAAAAACAATGTACTCTAAATCAGAACAATATTTTTCTATTAAACAGATATAAGAAGTACCGCACTGTTTTGTCTAAGCTTGTGAAAAATGCCAAATTTTTCTTCTATTATAAAGAACAAGCTCAAAAATATGCAAAAGATCCAAAAAAACTATGGGGGGTGATAAGGGAGGCTACAGGTGATAAAAGTTGTCAGGCTGAAATAAAAAATATAGTTAACTCTAATAACACAATAATCTGACTATAAAATCGAGATGTTAGTTCAAGGTTGTCACCGCTTTAATTATGCAAATAAGGCAATCGGAATATAAAATCGATATGTTTATGTTAGTTCAAGGTTGTTACCGCTTTTGCATACATTGAGTGCCGACTCATAGATAGGCAATTACTTATACATAATAGAAGTCGGGTAAGTGTTTGGAAGAAGTCCGGAGAGGTCAGGAAAGGGCTGGATAAGGTCGGGAGAAATCTAGACAAGTCTGGATAAAGTCTGGATAAGGCTGGAAAAAGTTTAGCTAAGTCTGGAAAAGTTTGGATAAGTTTGGATAAAGTCTGGAAAAGCCAGAAAATTTCTGGAAACGTCTGGAAAAGGCTCTATTAGGACTGGAGAAATCTAGACAAGTCTGGATAAAGTCTGGAAAAATCTACCCAAGTCTGGATAAAGTCTGGAAAAGCCTGGAAATTTCTGGTAACGTCGGAAAAAGGCTGGATAAGGTCTGGTGAAATTCAGACAAGTCTGGATAAGTTCTGGAAAAGTGTATTTGAAGTCGGGAAAGTGTTTGGGAGAAGTCCGGAGAGGTCAAAGGGCTGGATAAGGTCTGGAGAAATCTAGATAAGTCTGGATAAAGTCTGGATAAAGTCTTGCTAAGTCTGGATAAGTTTGGATAAAGTCTGGGAAAGAGCCATAAAATTTCTAGAAACGTCTGGAAAAGGCTCTATTAGGTCTGAAGAAATCTAGACAAGTCTGGATAAAGTCTGGAAAAATCTAGCTAAGCCTAGAAAAATCTGGATACAGTCTGGAAAAGCCTGGAAATTTCTGGAAACGTCTGGAAAAGGCTTAATAAGGTCTAGAGACATTCAGACAAGTTTGGATACCTAAAGTCTGGAAAAGAGCCAGAAAATTTCTGGAAACGTCTGGAAAAGGCTCTATTAGGTCTGGAGAAATCTAGACAAGTCTGGATAAAGTCTGGAAAAATCTAGCCAAGTCTAGAAAAGTCTGGATAAAGTCTGGAAAAGCCTGGAAATTTCTGGTATCGTCTGGAAAAGGCTTGATAAGGTCTGGAGAAATTCAGACAAGTCTGGATAAAGTCTGGAAAAGTGTATTTGAAGTCGGGAAAGTGTTTGGGAGAAGTCCGGAGAGGTCAGAAAAGGGCTGGATAAGGTCTGGAGAAATCTAGACAAGTCTGGATAAAGTCTAGCTAAATCTGGAAAAGTCTGGATAAGTTTGGATACAGTCTGGAAAAGCCAGAAAATTTCTGGAAACGTCTGGAAAAGGCTCTATTAGGTCTGGAGAAATCTAGACAAGTCTGGATAAAGTCTGGAAAAATCCAGCCAAGTCTAGAAAAGTCTGGATAAAGTCTGGGAAAGTCTGGAAATGTCTGGAAACCTCTGGAAAAGGCTTGATAAGGTCTGGAGAAATTTTGACAAGTCTGCATAAAGTCTAGCTAAGTCTGGAAAAATCTGGATAAAGTCTGGAAATTTCTGGAAACGTCTGGAAAACGCATGGAAATTTCTGGATTGGGTCGGAAAAATTCTGGAAAATCTGGAAAGGGTTGAATTTTAGCGGATCTCAAAGCTCACAATAATCACAAGCATTAGCGTTGAAGTTTGCTTCGGCATTTTCAATGTTCTCCTCGGTTGCATCTTTGTGAAGGACTGTGAATTTGTTACTTATGTGACAATTCTCTGACAATATGCCTATTAGCTGTGCTATTAGATATTGCTCTGTAGATGGTTGTTTTTCAAAGCAAGGAAGTGGTTTAATATTTTTTCTAGGTCCAATAGAAGAATCTAGGTATGTATAGGGTTTTCCAATAGTAACGCTCGATGTTTGACAATAGCCCATGAAAAACTCGATAGTCACACAGGTGCTAT